ACATATAAAAGTAAGTCTCTGAAGTGACATAATTTATTTAAAATAGGAAACTGATTACTTTCAGCAAAGAAACTACATTTGAACATGAATGGCCAAAAGAAAGCTCCTTACAGTCTGGGAGGGATTGAAAATTGGCCATCAGACTTCAGTCCTGATTAAGCCCTCTTAAAAACCTAATGATCAGATGTCAAAAACCTACATTATTCTCATCTTGAAAAACACAGAAACACATACATCACTTTGTTTCTGAAGTGAAATCCATCCCTCTACAATGCTTTAATGGTGAAAAAATGTAGAACTTGAGGGAACATTATGAGATGACTTCACCTAAAACATTGCCTGAAGTGTATCTAAGCCATCCATTTTTTTATTCTCCTCTTAACAACCTGCACTAGAGGGAATTACACAGCATCTTTTGGCAGTATGTGTCAATATTTCACATGAAGTTGATTTCTTCTCTCCCTTCTCCCTCCTCTATGCAGTGACTGCATAGATATTTTCTCGTAATTAACAAATTTTAAGATACATTATTCCATTAAGATACATATTTCCATTCTACAGAAGCTCCTCTAGATTAAATAAACCTTCTCTAAGCTCAGGAAAAATATTCAGATGAAGTTCCTTCTTTTTTTCAAAACAGAACCCAATCCAACCATGCAGTAATCTGCTCTACATTCAATAATTAGTTTTAGAGGATGACTGAAAAGCACAGCCTGACAGGATTGCTCCTATTTTATTATGAGCTATGTTCAGTAAGTTAGTAAATTGGAAGAGAGAAAATCTTTAAATAGATTACTGATAAACTTGGGGGGAAAATAGAAAATCATTCAGGTACATGACTCCTGTTACTTGAAAACAATAGTTTAGCAGGGGGTATGAACTTTGGTCTGTAATATATGAGTTATTACAGCTCTTTTTTTTTTGTTTTTCTTTTCCTTGAGTTGTCTGTTTTGATTAAAACACAACAATTCAACAAAATTAATTTAGAATAAACGACTAACAAGTTTAAAACTATTGTAAAACATGAACATAAATTGATAAATTAGTGAAGTAAACCACATATTAAAACCTTAATTTTTTTATGTTAAAGGCAAATTAGTTTCTTCTTAATCTTCTAAACCTGTTAATAAAGGTTTTAGCTTGTGTGCTATCATACACTTTAGCTATCTTCAGGTCTGTCAAGGGAATTAGATTGACTGTGATCTGCTATGTGCCTTAAGGCAAAACCTCAAATACTTCAAGGTTCATTAAGTAAGAAATTTAAACCACTAAAACATAAAACAGCAATGTGTAGACACATTGGCTTATTTTATTTTCAAAATTAGAAGTTCTGCCAGGAAAAAAAAAAAAAAAGCTCCAATCCTGCAATTAGCATCCTGTGGGCAGGCTTCTGCATGAGCAGATCTCATTGCTGGTTTGGGGACTAATACTCCAGAGCTGCAAACACTTAAAACACTGACTTGACTGTTATGAGTAGGCTTACTGAAATTAATGGTGCTTTTCATGATAGTAAAGTTAAGTACGTGCCTGTGGATGAAGATTCAGCTTTTTAATGTCATGATGACGGAATGAATTACTTCTATGTATTCTACAAATAACCAAACAAAACTTTAAAAAGCAGTTTCCTACCTCCACCATTTTTCTGAAGTGTTTTCTGCATCGATATCCTCTCCACCACTTCTGTATCAAAATCACCATTTCATTCAGATGTCTAAAATGAAATATATTAACAAAATAAAGATTTCTTGAGACTTCCCAGCATTATTATCCATACTTATTCCAAACAGATGACCATTACAAAGACACTTCATATGTATACATGCATCCATATATACATATGCACACGCACAAATAGACCATTATACACCTAAATTTATGCATACACACATACTTTGTTTTTTGGAAAAAATGGGTTACTGCAAACTTCTCTGTTTTGGTTGTCATGACAAAAGTTTAATGAAAAAGCCTTACAGATTTAATTTGCATAAAAATATGATTTTACTTTCATGGATGGTTTTAACCAACATACCTGATCAGTTCAGAATTTTTACAGTACATGCACATTTTCACAGCTTTACTATTTTTAAGTATTTGATAAAACTCACTGATATCTGGAATTTTGAGACATCTTATTCACTTTTATACATCTTCTTTGCCTTTATAAAATTACACCTAGCTTAATTATGAGTTAATACGTACTTTGTCCTTATACATATATAAATATAATATGTATGTGCACATATATTTATATAATTATGGTATTAAAAATTTTATAATTAGTGTCTCAGGTTAATTTTTGCAGAAAATCATGCAATCATTACTTTGGGACTGTCTAAAAAAAACTGTATAGGGGATCATTCATACCACCTGACTGCGGATATCAAACTCATTAGCCTTGAAGTCCACTCAGTGGAAGCAGTCAGGCTAATTCAGAACACTAAGAACTGCCTATATGGAGCCTGTGCTCCCAAGTCAGAGAGAGTTACAGGATTACAGAATCATTAAAGTTGGAAGAAACCTTCAAGATCACCTAGTCCAACCATAAGTCCAGTATCACAATTATTACCCCTAAACCATATCCCCAAGTGCTACATCCAGGCACCCCTTGAACACTTTTAGAGATGGTGCCTCCACCATCCCCCTGGGCTACTTATTCCAATGCCTAACCACTCCTTCACTGAACTTTTTTTTTCCTAATATCTAACCTGAACTTCCTATGATGCAACTTAGGCCCATTTCCTCTGATCCTTTCACTTGATACACAGCAGAAGAGATCGACCCCCACCTCACTATCACTTTCTCTCAGGCAGTTTTAGAGAGCAATGAGGTCTTCCCTGAGCTTCCCTTTCTCCAGGCTGAACAACCCCAGCTCCCTCAGCTGCTTCATATGTGACTTGTGTTCCAGACCCTTCCCCAGCTCCATTATCCTTCTCTGGACACGTTCCAGCAACTCACTGTCTTTCTTGTAGTGAGAGGCCCAGAGCTGAACACAGTAAATGAGGTGAGGCCTCACCAGTGCCAAGTACAGGGGGGCAATCTCTTCCCTAGTTCTTCTGGACAAACTGTTGATACAGGCCAAGAAACCAAGAAGACGCTGAGCAAAATCAGCCTGCACACAACAGTTGCAGAGAAAATCCTCTTCTACACTTAGCTGAGATTTACTTCTTCTTACATTGGTCATTACTAAATACAAATGTGTGTTTGGAAAAGCATTTTCCTATAGAATAGATTGGCAAAGACACTTGGGTTTCCACTTTCTTCTACAGCAGAAAGTAACAGCTGTTACTCATGTCCTGGAAAGAGAGGATGAATAACCAAACCTTTTTCTTTGTAGATGCTTTCTGACACTGGTTTCTTAGAGGGTTGAAATACCATGTTTGTTTGCCTGCAGAATGCTTGCCTGTGACAGCTGCATCCCGTGACAACACATTTGAACCAGCAATGGAAAACAAATTACCTGTGCTTTTTTTAACAACTGCACATAATGACTGTAGCCTATCTTTCTATGACGGAAATACTACCCATTAAACAATTAATTTTATTTAACCTAATAATTACTTAGGTTTGACACAGTCTGTCTGGATGATACATAATGACCTGTGACAGGCAAGAAGTCAAACTAGAAGATGTAAAAATCCCTCTCCCTAATTTTTATGAAGATACAGAAATTTGAGCACATGAGTTTGACCGATTGGGCTTACGATCATAAAAATGAAGGAGGGCTTTCTGGGAGAAGGGACCAATCATAGCATTTCCAAGAACCTTGTATCAACATCATAAACCATAGAATCATTAAGGTTGGAAAAAACCTCCAATGTTGATACAGCATTTTACAGAACAAAGATCTCTGATTTATAAATGGAGAAAATCATGTAAAGAAAGATTTTTTTAAAATGACCTGCTTAAATCCAGCTGTAGACTTTAATTTCTACAATAAAAGTCCAGTTGCCGTACTCTCACCAGGCAATTTTTCTGTAACAACAATAAGAGAGAGCAGCGCCACAGAAAGGGACCTGGGGGTCCTGGTGGATGGCAAGTTGAATATGGATCAGCAGTGCCCTGGCAGCCAGGAGGGCCAACCGTGTCCTGAGGGCATCAGGCAAAGCATCGCCAGCCGGTCAAGGGAGGGGATTGCCCTGCTCTGCTCTGCACTCGGGCACCCTCACCTGGAATATTGTGTGCAGTTCTGGGCACCACAATGTAAGAAAGACATTAAACCACTAGAGAGCATCCAAAGGAGGGTTATGGAGACGGTGAAGGGCCTTGAGTGGAAGCCGTGTGAGGAGTGGCTGAAGTCACTTGGTCTGTTCAGCCTGGAGGAGACTGAGGGGAAACCTCATCCCAATCTACAACTTCCTCATGAGGGGAAGAGGAGGGGCAGGCACTGATCTCTTCTCTCTGGTGACCAGTGACAGGACCTGAGGGAGTGGCTTAAGTTGTGTCAGGGGAAGTTTAGGTTGGATATTAGGAAAAAGCTTTTCACCCAGAGAGTGGTTGAGCACTGGAACAGGCTCCCCAGGGCAGTGGTCACAGCACAAAGCCTGACAGAGTTCAAGAAGTGTTTGGATAGCACTCTCAGGCACATGGTGTGACTCTAGAGGAGCCCTGTGCAGGGCCAGGAGTTGGATTTGGATGATCCTTGTGGGTTCCTTCCAACTCAGGATATTCTATCATTCTATAAGAAAAGTCTCTGAATCAGCATATCCAAGGGACATCTGGTTGTTTTGTTTCTTTCCCAATCATGACAAGATTTCCTACAGAATACTGTCTATCTGTTATGAAGATAGACTATTTCCAAGCTACCTATTAGCATCATGCCCTTTTAACTGTATACCATTCTGGAAATCAAAAATTACATTTTAGAGTGGCACAGCATATATTTCATTCTGTTGAAAAGCAGAATAAGAGTTGTTGGTTGTTTTTTTTCCCCTAACTGCTACCATTTTACTAAAATCAAATAATACCATGAGCAATTTTGAGGAGAAATTCAAGGCTGAAACACAGACTAGGATAGGCTAGGTAGGCTTAATATACTACCTCAGATAGGTTCGGACTCTGTATCCTCGAAACCAGCTCTGGATTTTGACAGCAGCTCTGTACTTTATTTTTCTGTCTTCATCTATAGATCTGAAAATATAAAAGCAGTAATAATTATCAGCATGGCAATGTAGAACCAAAGTAAAAAAAAATATTCTAAATATGCTTTATTGTTGCAGTTTGGGATCCTTTTCACTTCTTAATTCTACACAATTCAGTGGTAGTGCAGAAAAATGTAACTTACATTAGTTGCATAGTATGAAGGTAACAAGGATAAAGAGCATTGCAACTCATAGGAGACGTAAGTTTTGGGAGAGTGTATTTCTTATTCTCACACAACACTGAATATACGTGTCAGCATGTCACATGGACTTCTTCCACTGCAGATGAAATGTTGCAGGATAATGCTTTAACTAAAATTAAATTAATTAAACACATTATCTTTTGATTGTTAAAAAATCTTTTGGTCATTTCTTACTTCAACACTGATAGCATCAACAATGGTGACAGATACACTCCTTGTCTGTAGGAATTTTTAATGAATATGAGTTAACCTTAGCAGGATGGGAGCAGAGGATTTACACATTCTAGCTAGTTTCCTAGGAAGGAATTTCAAGAGGAGAAAAATTAAAAAGAAGAGATGATGAAAGGAAAGTGAGATACAAATGTAATTTTATACTGTTACAACAGTGAAAGCATAGGAAAGAAACCAGGTGTTAGAATTTCCAAACTTTAGAAGGCCTGGAACATCAGGAAACAAAATCTTAGTGTGGCTTAAAAGGAAGTCAGAACTGGGAAACAAATGGATTTAGTAATTTACATAGATTCCAAAGGGATGACCATAGGAATCTTCTACATGAACATACAGTAGTCAATGCAACAGCTTATTGAGTCCTGACAGAACTTTTCACAATGGGAATTCAAAGACACAGATTTTGGAGATGATGTAGATATGAAACTGGCAGCATATTGACATGTGCTACAGACAGGCAAGGAGGGAATAAAAGGAAACAACAGAATTACAAAATATGCTAGGGTTGCAGCATTGATTAATACAGATCCTAGAGAAAACAATGAAAAAGGGAGGATGTAGAGAAGGATGAAGGATTTGGTTTTAAGTTACATGAAAAGAAAGGTTATCTAGAAAGAGATACTGGTGAGGCAGCAGAAGATGCAAGGTAGATGTAGGGGAGAATTGATGACTTCAAGGAGATTTTCAAGAACTATTAAATGTCAAAGCTTTGTGTCAAATGACATAGTACAAGCAAAAGACATGCACAAGTGCGAAAGAAACACAAGAAGCACAAGTAAAAGGACCTCATCAGAATAATTCCAAGAGATAGCCCTTGCTTGCATTCTCTCTGTGACTCTGTCTATTAGAATAGTGTTTGTGACAAAGCTAAAAGTCATGTAAGGAAAACCATGAATTTAAAACAGATTAAAAAAATATATTAACCTGGAAGAGGCTTTTAAGAGAGTTTAGGGAGAAATCATTGCCATTATGAGTTTCAATGCTGAGGGGTAAAACTCAGCTATGAGATCATCTCTGCCTTTTATTTATTTTTTATTTGTTTCAAAATGTTAGTAACTGTCAAGTCTTTGAACTTAAAATTATATTTTAATTATCATGGATTTTTTTTGTTAACCTATTTTTATCAGGAACATATTTACCAAATACTTTATTTTGTTACACCTGACACAAAATAACAATTAGGTTACTATTAGTTAGTTTCCTTAATTAGCTGACATTAGTTAGCTCTCCAAACAAAGTTTTGTGTCAACATTAATTGCATCAGTAAACCCCAACAAGATTAATTTTTATCTGACAAATTATATCTCATCATATTTCTTGTGAATTGAAATGCATATTTACTATCAGAGATCAAGAAACATTAGCTCCACTCATTTTATATCATATGGTGTAGCATGTGCTCTCAAATCACATTAAGTGGGCACAAATTTTCATTGTCATCTGAGATTCATCAGACCTTTTCAGTACCTCAAAACTGTGGGAAACAGACTTTTTCAACCTAAGACTCCAAAATAAAAAGTTTTCAAAGCTGGCTAGAGAGCTTCCTTGTTCCCTTCTTGTGCAGATTCTGGGACTTTATAGGAAGCAGACACCCTCAGAATACTTTTACCTAGAGGTAAATGATTTTGATGAAAAGGATTTTGATTGGGCAATTTGGGCCAGGACAGGCAGCCACAATTACTGCCTGGAAATGGAGGGGATGAGGGACTGGTCGTGTCAGAGGTGACAGCTCCAAAACCAGTCCTACCCACTTGGCAATGACAATAGTCTGCTTCTAGAAGAGCAGAAGCCTTCTCCTCTCTTACTTTCTGTTTGATTTTTTTAGCTGGCATTCTCTTGCCTGGCCAAGGCAGTTTAGAAGTCCTTGTAAAGTTTATTGAAACAGACCAACAACAAGATAGATCCACAAACCCTTTCAACTGCCCTTGCCAACAGAAGTGTTTTGAGGTGAAAGTTTCTCAGGCAGGTATTTGCCCTTTTGATCAGGATGCATAGTTGTCATACTGTTTGAATAAAAGCTTTTAGAGTCACAGGTATTTCTCAAAGCCTTTACTGAAAGTAAAAAAAGGCATTTTCAAGGTCAGCACCTGACATACAGATGCTACAGTAAATAAAGGCAGGTTATTGAATGAGTACAGTGATAAACTTGTTTAAAACTTAAGAGAGTGCACTAATGGATCCTGTACAGTCTAATGCTTATGCTGACAGTGTATTTCTAAAAGGGCAGGCTTATGGTATTTTTGCATTACGACATCATTGGGCAAGTCTTTCCCTAGAAAGGTGCTTTCCCCAAAAAGCCAGTTTAAGACACCTCATACCTCTCACATAAACCGAGTTCTGCAAAAAGCATGACAGGAATGTTATGGAGATCAGAAAAATATTATTAAGATTAGTTACTGAGCTGGACTGTTTGAATCCTCTCATTTAAATACTCAGCTGCAAATCTGAATTTTCAGAAGCTGATGGATCATGGCCTATTCTTAAAAGGGAAACAATTCATGTTTGGAAAGCTCTGCCAAAAAACAAATCCCCAAACATCAAGCATGCTGCCCTCCAATGGATTTCCAAGTCTGGCTCAGGCTGCTCTTCCTAACCTGAAATATGTGAAATACAAGCATAGTCTCCTATAACTGATGTTTGTTTAGTGAACTGCTGTGTGTACAGCCACAGGAGTATGAACAAAAGTTCAAGGGAAGAACAGGAAAACACAATACTTAACATGCAGGCAGGACTTGATCCCTGTGTAACTTTTAGGAATGTTCAGGAGGATTGTTATTCATGATAATGGTGTTGTAATTAGATTCAAAAATAAATGATTCATTAATTAGTGAAGAAAAATTAAACTACAACTATGCTAAACACGCTTTTTTTTTTTTTTTGTGAGCGAGTACTTGCATTACAGACACAGCAACAGCAACAATGCAGTTGAATAAAAGGGTTTACAGGACAAATCTATGCAATATTAAAGTCGGTTTTAAAATATTTTATTTCCTGAAATCTGATCTAGGATAAGTTGGCCATCACGTTAGCAGCCAGAAAACTTGGCAACGCAAACTGTTCCAGTTGGTGAGAAGTGTAACAGAAGATCTAATCTTTCAGCCTGTTGCTCACTGTGTAGGATATGTTAGATCTTTAAGTAGAATAAACACCTCCTTAACTTGGTTAAAAAAAAGACAAAACATGTCCCAGGTATTTAGAAACTCAAGTTGCACAATCTAATTCAGAAGCTCGATTTTAAACCGTGTGGATAATAAACATCAACTCAGAAGTTGGGGAGATTTTCTTTCAATTAACTTTAAATAAAAAAAAAAAATAGGAAGAGTAGTGCCTTGCAAGAGGACAAGCATTCAGGTACAGTCACAGACCTGAGCCACCAGCGCAAGGGCTCAGGGCTGGCGTTCGACATCCTGGCATCACTATGAGGGATCCTCTGGGAATAGCAACGCCGCTGGCGCAGGAGAGAAGGAGCAGGCTCCTGAGGCCGGAATGGGGGAAAGGGGGCGGCTCTCAGAACGGGAGAGGGCTGAAATTGTGAGGCCCAACGCCTTTTAGGAGTTTCCAGAGGCTCCTTTTCCCTCAAAATTAGCAGAGGGGGCGGGAAAACAGCAGGACATTAAGTATTTTCAGTGTATAAATGGACCACCTAAAGACGTTGTGCTGCTGCCATCAGGTCTCCTCAGATCACACCAATATTTGGGATCAATGGGGTGAGTCTGTGCTCTCGGGAGGGATTTTAAAGTGAAACAGAATCACAGAATGGGTAAGGTTGGAAAGGGACCACAGTGGGTCATCTGGTCCAACCTTTCTGCTGAAGCAAGCTCGTCCTAGAGGACAAGGCACAAGATTGTGTCCAGAGGGTTTTTGAATATCTCCAGTCAGGGAGACTCTGCAACTTCTCTGGTCAATCAGAGCTGTCACTCCCACAGTAAAGAAGTTCTTCCTTATATTCAGGTGGAATTTCCTGTGGATCAGTTTCTGCCCGTTGCCACTTGTCCTATTGCTTGGCACCACCAAGAAGAGCCTGGATCCATCCTCGACACTCTCTTCACATACTTACAGCAACTGATGAGGTCCCCTCTCACTCGTCTTTTCGTGGCTGAACAGGCCCAGTCCCTTCAGCTTTTCCTCGTAACAGATGTTCCAGTCCCTTGATCATCTTCGTAGCCCTCCGCTGGACCCTCTCCAGGAGCTCCATGTCTCTCTTGTACTGAGAAGCCCAGAGCTGGACAATTTCCAGGGGGACTGCCGCCATCTGGTTGCTGTGGGAGAGCCGGGGTCCACCCGCCCGCCCGCCCGCCCGAGCCCAGCATGAGGAGGTGTGCCCTGCCCCACCACCGGCACGGCCCGGGTACCTGTTCTCAAGGAAATACTCCTCCCGCAGCTCCTGCAGCCTCTCCTGCAGCCGGGCCAGGGCGGCCATGCTCCCTCCCTGCTCCCGCCCTCCCGACGCCGCCGCCATGGCAACGGGACCGTCCCACTGCGCTGGGGCGCGGGGGTGTCGCTGCCCCGGCGGCCCCGCGGGCAGGGACCGGCACCGCTCTGGGGGTAGCGGGGGCTCCGCGGGGCTGCCCCGGGGCCGAGACGGGGGTTCTGGGGGGAGACGCGGAGCCCCTGGGCAGCGGCCGGGAGAGGGCCGGGAAGAGGCGAGGTGGTCGCGCCCGGCTTCCTCCGGTGCCGCGGCCGCTTCCGGGCCCGCATCATGGGGGAGTGAGGAGCAGCGCCGGCCGCCCGTGCCCGCCCGCCCGGCCCGAGCCCGCCCGGCCCCGGCCCCTGCCCGCCTCCCCTCGGCACAGTCTCTGCGAAGCGGCGCCAGCCTCCCCGGGGAGCGGCCGGCCGAGGCGCCGGGTTCATGTTCCGGGTGGCTGAACCTACCCCGACCCGAGCTCAGGCGGCGAGGAAGAGCTGGTAAGCCCGGGCCCGCGGGGAGCACGTGTCCGCCGCCCACGGGGCCGCTGGAGGAGGGAGAGGGTCGGGAACAGCATCTCCGTGCCGCGGGTGGGGCTTGGAAACGTGGGGGCGAGTGGTGCCCCCGCCCCGGGCGGGCCTCCCCGGGGCTACCGCTGACACAGGGTGGAGGTGATGGAGGTGGGGATGGAGGTGTTGATGGTGCCCGCTCCGGGATGCGCGGCCGGAGGTCTGACAGGTGCCACTGGCGCATCCCGGCAGCGCCGGGGGTTTATGAGCGAGCAGTAAGGCGGAGGGAGGAATTTCCACGCCTTGCTGAAAAGGAACTGTAGGCAAACGATGAATCAAAACTTTTGTCCCGAGCTCCCCAAACATTCCCTGCGTATTTGGGTTTTTCTAACAGTGGTAGGTTCTCTAAGGCTAAAGCCCTTGCAGTGTGTGCAGCTGAGCATCCAGGGGACGGGGGTTTGCTGCTCTGGAGGTTTTTTATTGCAAACCAAGAATCAACAAGTGCTGCTGTAGCCATCGAGCAGAGAAAACGTGAGTAGTTCTCCTGTAATGAAGTTCACAGATTTACTGTTTGATGTAATTCCACGTGCCAGCATAGTGACCTCAAAGGCATTGTTGTTTTTATTGTAGTACTGTGAATAGGGGGAGCCAAGTAGCAGAATAGAAGAAGTGACTTTTGTTAATAGGCCATGGAGGCATGGAGACTGGTAGTGGAGAGACTTGATAGACACAGGGTGTCCAAAGCAATCAGTTGGGAAGCCTTTCATGTTCTTACTGAAATGTTACATATCTTGTGATATGTTAGGTATCGACTGGTGTGTCTAGTTTGTTATTCATTTCACTTTTATTAATGTAAGCGAGGAGGCTTGTGGCGGGATTTTTTTGTGTGTGTTTTTTCTTAATAATTTGAGGCCTTGAGGCTTTTTTGGAGCCTGTGTTGCAGATACCTGCTGGTAGATTTCCCAGATCTAAACTATATTTTCTTTCATCTTTTTTTTTTTTTCGTTTCTTTTCTGGGGATGGGGAAGAAGAGGGAGGGAAGGGCTTAGCACTTTGTTTTCTTACACAGAAAACTGCATTTTTCCTCCACTTTGCTGATAGCACCAGTTGTTGTTTTTTCCTGTGGGTATTGTTATGGCTTCTTTACAATTTTCTAAATGAGAAAACTTTCAAAGAGGGATTTTACTTGCCCTGATATGTGTATTGGCTAGAAGAAGCTTGCCAGTAGTGCTAGACATCCAAATTTGCCTGGTGTAAATATAACTTCTGTTGGTGTAATTCAGAACATTTCAGAGAATGAGATATACTCTAGTGGCACAGGAATTTTTACTTAAGTAGAAATGCTGCATACAACAGAAACATTGCTTGACAATCCCAACATGTGTATGTACTCTGAGAAATTTTTCAATAAATATACCTGTCATGCGTCTTTTAAGTTTTACTGGTTTGTGTCCACATAAAGTAATTTAGTTCCAGAGGCTTTTAGAATAGTCTTCAGCAACATGAGATGTGGGCATAGTCTTCTAATCAGACAATAGTGATTTTGCTTGTACCCAGAGGAATTCAATACAGAGAAAACAACACTCTTAGTTTAGCAGTTCTGAAGGAAGGTCTTTTGAAAATCTGACTACTCCTCAGAGCTTTCCTATTCTTATATAGAAGTTATTGCGGAAGTTGTTTGTTAAAGGAAGCCCATTTGAGTGGGATGCAGGAAAATGCTTTTTTCAGTGCCTAATACTTGATGTAGAAAATTAAGAACTTGGGCTTTTTTAAAAGCATTAAGACCCTAAAGAGCTGAATAGATTCAGAACAACCACAAAGTAAAATTGTTCACTTTGAATGGTAAAGCTGCTCTGAAGCTGAATATTTTTCATTTAAATAGTGAACGCATGCGGCAATTTGGGAATAGTTTGTATTTTGGGTACTTACTGGACACTCTGATAATGACTGTGGTGCTATAGCATATTACCACCATGTGACAGTTCATATAATTCTGCACCTTGACAATTAATTAATGAACTCATACTTCTGAAAAGGGCAAGCATATCAGTAAATGGCAGCAATGGGATTGCAAGAATTGCTCCCTCTCATGATAAATTGCTCCAAATCTCATTTCTGGCTGACCAGTTCATTTGTGTTAGAGCCTTGTTAAATGTACTTCATGTCAGCATCTTTCTAACTGTATGCCATTGCTCTGTGCTAAACACTTTTTCACTGTTAAATATAAGTAGACTGATAGTATTTATTGTTGTGCCTTCTTAGATAAGCAGCAGTTATAGAAAAGTCAGATATACTTATTGCGAGTTAGCCTGACCCTAATTTTTAGGAGGATCAGCAGCATACTCAGTTATAAAATGCCATCATTGCTCAAATACTTTTTATTGTATAGGATGGAATTACATAATCACAGAATGGGTCAGGTTGTAAGGGACCCCAGTGCGTCATCTGGTCCAACCTTCCTGCTCGAGCAGGGTCATCCTAGAGCACATGGCATACAATTCCATCCAGACAGTTCTGGAATATCCCCAGTGAGGGAGACTCCACAACCTCTCTGGGCAATCTGTTCCAGTGTGTTATCACTCCCACAGTAAAGAAGTTCTTCCTCATATTCATGTGGAACTTCCTGTGCATTGTGTCTGCCTGTTACCTCTTGTCCTATTGCCTGGCACCGCTGAGCAGAGCCTGGATCCATCCTCTTGACACCCTCCCGTCAGATACTTACAGACATTGAAGAGATCCCTCTCAACCATCTCTCCTCTAGACTGAACAGGCCCATATCCCTCAGCCTTTCCTTGTAAGAGATGTTCCAGTCCCTTGATCATCTTTGTAGCCTGTTACCTCTTGTCCTATTGCTTGGCACGGCTGAGCAGAGCCTGGATCCATCCTCTTGATGTTGGAAGTAATTGTATGCAGTTACTGGGAGCTGTATATATGATATAGAAAAAGTTCATAGACATTTCCAGCAATGTAGTAACTGTCTTTATTGAGGAACAATGACTTTCAAAAACTTAATTTTTTCAAAATCCTCCCATGCTTTGTTATTTTCTGGATCTGGTTTATACACACACAATGGACTGCAAAGGAGTGTTGGCATACCTTGAAAGTGAAAAGTAGTCTGGGATTTTGGGTTTGTTTTCCCCTTTTCAGATATAGATGTGCTCCAGCATAGTATCCTGGTTTGTCTCAATACATTTTGGTTTTAGTGTAGCTTTTCATACCTGGTTGTCCAGCAGACAGTGCTTAAGGAGGTAAATAGGTGTGGATGTGGAACCAGATGCTTTGTCTGCCTCACAGAGATGGCTTTTTAATGACAGGTGAGTTTAAATAGTGTAGGCACAACTTCAGTTTCTGATCATAGAATCATTAAGGTTGGAAAAGACCTCTGAGGTAAAGTCCCACTGTTGAACCAGCACTACTGTGTTCACAACTAAGCCGTGACCCCAAGTGCCACATTCACACCTTTTTTTGAACACTTGCAGGTACGGAGGTTCCATCACTTCCCAGGGCAGCCTGTTCCAAAGCCTGATCATCCTTTCAGTGAAGAAATTTTTCCTAATATCTAATCTAAACCTCCCCTGGTGCAACTTATGGCTGTTTCCTCTTGTCCTGATATTTGTTACCTTAGAGAAGAGCCTCCTGTGGAACACAGGTTTATCAGTTATTTCCTAATCGTCTCTTGCTAGCTTTTTAATAATTTTAACTGCATTATGTTACTTCATTTTGCTTCCCCCTTCATGTATTCCAAGAACATGATAGTTCTCTTTTTTTTTGAATCCATAAATTCTTCAGGCAATGAAGTGAGATTTATCATGTTCTGCTACCTCCCAAATACTTGCACCTGTTCAATCCAAATTTCTCTCACACTCATTAATAAAACAGTGATCTCGAAACTAACGTTTCTAAGGCTTTGTGAAAATAACTTCTGAGGTAGAGAAATGGGATTCAAATTAGTAGCTGTCTGAAGATAAAGGTACATTGTGAGTACACCTGTGTTACAAGACATCAGAGAATCCATATGGGAAAAGATTATAGGAAATTGAGGTTTATAATCTTGATGTTGAAGGAACTATTTGATTTTTCATGTGCTTTTAGCTTATGATCAAGCTGGGTTGTGAAGACAGCAAAACTCATGTTTTTTTTTCATAATTGATGAGGCACAGATGCAGCATAAATCTAGCTGCAAGAAACCCCAGACCTATTTAACAGGAAAAGGTACAGAACTAGAAAGTAAATGTAAATGCAGCTGTTGATTTGGTAAGAGATAATGCCTTTCTTTAAGAGTTGTGCGACTAAATTAACTTTCTCATCAGTGTGTGTTTGTTAAATATTTTGTGAGCAGTCAAAGCTTTGTTACGTGCTTTAGGTGGGAAGTGAAGACAAATGATACTTAATTTCCACTGAAAAGGTAAGTGCCCATTATTTCCCTTAGGATTTTCACTTTGAATGTTAATACTGGACAGAGGCTGTGTGACCTGTTTTGGAGCAGGTGAAAGCAGTTATGCTGTTTCCTGTAAATGGTACTTACATGTTTTGGTAAGAGTTTGAGAGGAAAAGAATCAGCCTTTGGTGAACTACATTAAAATTGCTTCAGATAACTGTAAAGGTCAGTGTAGGCAAACTAGATTTTCTCGTAGTAAAGTAGAATCTTCTCCTAGTGAGGACATTACAGTTTATTGCTAGCTGTGGGCTGTTGCTGTAAGTGCATTTTTATAGCCTTTTGTGAGTCATACTAAACTGTGGCTCATCTTAATATTTTATGTACTTCAATATGTTGTTCTACATTCATTGTTACAACCCTTGAAATTTCTTATCTTACTGAATATTGTTGATACTGGTAATGCCTTTAATACTTCTTACAGTTATTTTTCAACTTGTTTCAAATGCAAATATTTTTGTTACAGTACCATCTGCAGCAATGATTAAAATTGCTTCAAAGGTTGGGAATACAAGCTTGACAGCTGGTTGTGAACTATGGAGAAAGTTCCAAAACTGATTTTGTGTGATAAGTAATGCTATAGTAGAAATATGCTCCTGAATTTTGAAGATAGGTTTGAGATTAACTGTTCTATCTGGTAGCTGCTGCCTTTTTTTTTTTTTTTTACTTCAATTATAGCAGGAGAAATGAGAGCAACAATAAAATGAAGCAAAAGAGATTTTTTGGCTCTTCAGGAGAAGGAATTTCAATGTGAACCACTGGCATGTTGAAAATACAACGTGAATAAGAAGCTGAAGTGATTTTTGATTGTATTCTCAATCTGTTGCAAAGGAGGTTGCACTGTCCTGAATTGATCAAGTAATTCTCATAATCATTCTAAGGAAACATGTTGAAATAATTGCAATATTGATTTGCCCAATCTGCCTAAGATGTAATGCAGTTATGATACAGCTATATTATACATTGAACCATGGCTGCAATTTTTAGGGTAAATAAGATCACTGCCCTATACAAATCTTAATTCAGGAGTTGCAATGAAGAGACTTGATATTCAATAGAAAAGATTAATTGCAGGAGTGCGTAATATTCAAAGTCATAGTTTGCTGGAAATTAAGTCCTTTTACTGCTCAGGGCCTTTTAAGAATCTAGTTAACCATTTACTTCAAAAACACTTAAGGGTGTTCACTCTTCTTGACTTTCATCTTTTGATCTGGCACCATCTGTATTGACAGTATTTTGGTAAGAATTCAAGGCAAGAATTGGGATATAAAAATCAGAGCTGGATATGTTGTGTTTGATCTTGAAGTATTTTTGGAACTAAGGCAACTTTACCACCATCCTCCTTATGCCATTTTCTGGAGTAAATTGGTATGTCCACTCTAGGAGCTACATTGATTTTAGTGATACAGTTATCCATACAGATTAGGGATACTGAATGGAAGGAATTAATCATAAACTGTGGTGTAAGACGTTAGTGTCCCTGTCTTCTTTCCCTTTTGCTTTGTGCTGCAGGGGCACTGGCAGAATGGGCTGCAAGAGACATATAAGCTAGTTCATATTCTGGCAGGTTAGCAGAAACCTCTTTGTTTTGAGAGCTAAATGTAGGTTTTTGCTAAATGTAGTTCACTTTTTCATGTACCTCCACTTTTGTCAGTTTGCTATGGATGCAAAAGTCTGTGGCAGAAGGGCTGGGCAGGCAGCTGGGGGAATTGGTGTCTCAAATTAACCCAAATGTGCTGGAGTTTGTCTGTTTGAGTGTTACAGCTCCTGTTATAGTAGTAAAAAGTCTTAGAAAGGACCCTTAAATCTTAATGGCATCTCATTTCTGATATGTGCACCTGTGAGGATATATCTCATCCTGTGGGTTTAATAGCAAGGCTGAAGGGGCCAGTGCCCTCCCCACTGTGCAGTTATAGCTGCTGAGAAACAGGGGCTAATACATTCAGGCATCCTGTGTATATTCCTACCACACAAGCAAGAAAACCCAAGCAAAAACCAAACACCTCCCTCTCCCCTCAAACCCTCTGCAGTAATTGAATCTTTGAAAAATCAAAGAAAGAATTAGCTTTACATCATTGTGCTGCCACATTTAGAAGTAATTTCTAGACTAATTGGCTTCCACTTTTCCACTTTTTTCTTTCTGAATTTTCAGAAAATTGTTGCTTAATTTGGAATGCTTTTCCTCCTGTGTTGCTTCTTTTACTTCTGAGAAGTAATTTTGTGTGATTGTGGATGTTTTCATTCTTCTGAACCAAGTGGATAAGGAGAAGCGTAGCATTCTTCCAGAGCTGTCTCACCACTTACAAGACAATATGATAATTCTGCTGTACTGAGAGTCCAAGAAAACATTAAATAAGGAGGGAATAATACGACTAGAGATTACAGCAGGACAGAAACAGAGGGAAATAAGTGACACAATAGTTTCAAGAATTCAAAATAAACTTGTTTTTCTACCACTTTCTGTGCTTTTATTGATCCTGCAGTTGAAATGTTAAAAATAAGTGTTTCTGAAAATAGTTTAAAAGGAGAACGTATGATTTCTTTAGGTAAGATGTTTCATGAGCAGCTTGGATTTCTTCTTAAACATGTTCTTTGGTTTTCCCATTAATATTTAATTTTTTTGTTTCGTATGGTCAGGACTGTCCATTCAGCCATCACCATTAAGTACCTTTAACATTGAAGTTTGTGCTGTTCTCTGCTTTCCCTCAGCAAAAGGGGTCTTCTGATCCTTTGATATGAGAGTCTGGTTGTTGTGTTTATAGAGAAGGTTCACAGCCTTCAGAGAAGGATTAGGGTTCAGCAGCAATCATTAATGTTTTCTTTTCATGATGATGTTCATGTAATGCATGGGTGAACTTACTGGAGTATACTGAGTTGAAGACATGCTAAATGCTAGTGAAATTTGAGGCAGAAGAAGCAAAATGTTCAAAAGGGATAAGGCCTTAATCAGACACTTATGTGTATTTAGGGATTTTTTTCCTCATGCAAGCATGTGATTCTATGGATGTAAGTGCCTACAGGTGGTAGGAAGCTTCGCATTTAATATTCTAGAATTATTTGTAGCCAGTATTCTCTCAACTTAATGTAACTTCACTGAATCAGGGTGTTTTTTTTTTTTTAAATCAAACAGAAATCAGCTATTTGAAAAGACAGAATTAAGAAAAAAGTCATATTATCAAAGAGTTACTGTCTTAACTTCATTTTGGCATTTAGGCCTCATCAGGAGATAGTTATCTTAAAAATATGTTATCATAATGAGAACTCTTAAACAAAACTCCTTAATGTACTATCAAGAAAGAATATTATATATTCCATTTCATGTTCATGAATTTAAAATGTGCTCCTCACCTGCAGTTAGAGCGAGTGGTCTTTGTCGATGCTCTTGCCACACGGAATCCCTGAAAATCATGAAAGTGTGATAAGATGAATTAAAACCAAACAATAATAGAGAGGGCAGAAACAAATGGGGAAATGCCTGCCTTTTCTTTCCAAGTTTGGGAAAATACCTTCTAAAAGTAATGTATGCTGATGTGTTCCAAATTGCAGAGGACTGATTGGTGAGGTTTTGTCTCTTGGAAGAAATAGAATAATCTTTATAGGAGATTTACCTTACCTAAAGTGACCAAAGTGATTTTGCCAAATCAAATTGTTATGGTTTATGCTTAAGAGTTCAGATTAATTTGATATTTTCTTGTGTGTTTTCTTTTTCCTGAAATATTTAGGCATTTCAGTAGGACTATGGAGGAGCTGGTTCATGATCTGGTCTCAGCACTGGAAGAAAGTTCAGAACAAGCCAGAGGAGGTTTTGCTGATACTGGAGATCATTCTAGAAGTGTGTCTTGTCTTCTAAAGCGACAGGCAAGGAAAAGGAGGGGACGAAAAAGGCGTTCATTTACCACCCATCATCCCTGGGAGACTGGTCACTGCTTAAGTGAAGGTTCTGATTCCAGTTTAGAGGAGTCAAACAAAGACTACCGGGAGAATCATGCTAATAAGAAAGACCACAGTGACTCTGATGACCAGCTGTTGGTTGCTAAACGTAGGCCTTCCTCAAACTTAAATAACATTAGAGGCAAAAGACCTCTGTGGCACGAACCAGATTTGGCTGTTGACAGTTTGGGAAACAGAACTTTGCGCCGGAGAAGGAAGGTAAAACGGATGGCAATAGATCTGCCGTCAGAAGTTTCTAATGCACTGACAATAACTCAGCAGCAGGATAACAGCAGAGATCAAGAAATGGACAATAACAATAAATCATACCAGCACCAAGAGTTTTCCAAGAGCAAAGTGAAAAAGAGAAAAGTATCTGCAGCTCGACAAGGACCAGAAATCTTGGATGAAGGAGTTGTTATAGAAAATGAAGAAGTGAACCAAGCAAATAAGGACAAAATGGAATATGAGGAGCAAAAAGGCTCGGATGAGAATATGAGTGACAGGTTATTCTTTCTCTTTCTTTTTAAAGAAACTTTGGGTAATATTTGCTTTTATTACAGTTGCTTGTATTGGGAGTCTTTGGATTTTTTGTTAATTCTGGTGTTAAAATTCTAGCATCAATAGTATCTCTTTTAACAAATTACTCTTAATTTTTATATACTATTTTTAATATATATGAGTTACTCAGGTTAAGGAATTTTGCATAAAATAGAGAGTCATGGGGCAGAGAAATAACCAAGAAAACAGTTTCTTGAAATAATGTATTCTAATTGCTTCAAGCTTAAGAATGACAAAATATACATATGATTAATATGTTCTTTTCTGGATATTTCAAGTGTTGACAGTTCTCAGACAAGAATTAAGTGATTTTCCAATTTCTAGACATTGGTGCTCTGATTGTCATCTCTATTTGTCAGAAAGGTTGTCAGTGTTTAGAGTTGCCATTTAGACAGTATGTTCTTATGTGTTATGGGCATAAAAAGTCTGCAGGTTGCCAAGGATATACATCATTTACGAAATGCAAAAACCAATTTACAGTTCAGAAACACCTGAGCTTACCATTAGAAAAATGGAGGAATGATGACCCTTTGGCAGTACACCTCATCCATCCATTCCAGACAGCAGTCATACTACAATGGTAATTGTTTCCAAAGTACTATTTTGACAACACAGTAAGGTGTAAGTCATTTTTCCACCATACACAAGGGATGTTAACTGCAGGGCCTGGTAAGCTTGATTATGTTTATTCCATGTACCTGGTTCTGAATGCAGAAGTGTCAACAAGAAAAACACACATTAGAAGATATAATTTTAATCAATTGCTTGACAGCACTAATGCCCCTGTTCTTTTTGGTAGGCATTTTATCTCTGAACTGTTAAGCCTTTTCCTTACTGGACAGGTAGAATTGATATGCAGAGAGTATCCAGGGGTTTTGACCAGACCAGACAGATTGGTTGCTGTAATAAAAACAGTGTTGATAAGTGACTAACTCCAGTTATTGTCAGAAAAGTCCCAAGTCTTTTTATTACATAGTGGCTTTGTCCCTCACCTGCGAACAAAGAGCAGCTGAAAAAGCTGAATTAGTCCCAAGCCTTAAACATTGTTCCTAACAGTTACTGGAGTAGAACTCATCCATGCAGTACAGGAGTGTGTGTTGTCAGGAAGCCTTTAGCAAACTCTCTTCTTTGATGATACTGGAAGTCTATTCCTCCAAGTTTGGTACCTAAAAAATTTCCCTCAAGCTAGGAACCATTGCATAATTTATCATGTGTCCGTAGTCTTGTCACTTTCTTATTTATAGAAGATCTTCTGTTATGCTACAAGGGTAACAGTTATTCAGCTCACAAATTCTGGAGGTAATTTCTGCGTGGAGAGGAGATTGATCAATAAGGATATCCTCTTATAGACTCCCCAAACTGAGCAACTTTTAGGTCAGACTGAATATCTTTTTTCACAGAAGAGATGTTATTGTTTTAAAAGTTGATCTTTCTCTTCAAAATGCTTCATGTTTTGTTACCTCAAATGCTGCAGTTTCTCAAATCATAGTTCAAATGCTTACCTATGACCTCCCTAAATGGTCTTTAAACCATTCTCATCCTCCTACTGTTTTCTACTCGTTCATGTGGTTGAGTGATGGTCTGTCATTTGACAGAATTTCTTTTAATGGTCATCTGTACCAATAAATTTGGATAGTACTGAATTTAAAAAGTTGCATTTCATAATGTGATTAGAAATGCACCATATCTAAGCCTCTCAGGTGATAGTGTATCAGAATATTTTGTATGTGCATGATTTTAACTTGTTTTAATCTGACTTTACTTAAATGCAGTAGTGCCTTTATTGTCTGAGATCATTTAGCCAGGAGAACTGGAAAGAACCAGCAAACTCTTTTAAGTAGACTATGTTCTGAAAGTGAAAGCTGAGGTCTTAAAAGGGAACATGAGATTGCACAAGATACAGATCTTAGAGAAGATTTGCGCTTCAGCAACACTTGCTGGAAAAGGAAGAATAAAAAGTACACAGAGCTGCTCTCAATAATGTGTGCAATAATATAGTTCAATAATGGTTTTTTTAAAAAGGTTAATTTTTTTAGAAGTTAAAAAAAAAACCCACAAAACAAAGATGATAATTTTTAGTGGAAATTTAGTTCCGTGATTCTAAAATTAGTGAGAAGTTCTCAGTGTATACACGTGCACACATGACACTACTTGAAAATAACATACATATTTGAAGTGCACATTAAAAATGCTAAGTGACACTTCTTTTGCAGTCTTTTATGTCTGTGTGAGTGTTCAAAAGCCAAACACAGCAATTACAAGGTTTTAAGTGCAGGATTCAGGAGCAGTACTAGGAATCTTCCAACTCTTAAAATGTCAGCATCTAAATGATCCTAAAGATGAATTCCCATGAGATTTGTTTTAAGCACTGGAAATTGGATTTTTGTGATCAGAGCCCATCCTTTGCTCATCCACCCTTATCCTCAGTGCTTAGCTTTTGGCCAGTTTCAGCCAAATTCAGCAGTATGTGGTGTTCTGGGTGATATCAATTGCCTCTTCTGGAAAAGAGGCAGCAATGAAATTCAGAGACACCCACCCAGCAGCCTGGGGTCAGTGGGAGCACAGCAGCTGGGCAGTTCCTGTGAACAGGACAAAGCCCACGTCTCATATAAAACCAAGGTACCAGACAGCTTGTTTGTAATAGTAACTGCAAGTGACAGTCATTTCCTCTTTGTTTCCACCAGTGTAGAAATAAAGCTGTGAAAGCTTTTTGGATAGCATAGCTGTTCCTTCCAAGTTTTTGCTTGCATACATTATTTTATGGGACTTAAAAGAGTCTGTGACTTTTTTCTTTTTCATGGAAGTCATGCTGGGAGCAGAATTCTCATTACAAAGCAAAGGAATTAGGAGTATACAGTGCAAAATGATACTAAAACTGGAAATAAATTCCATCATAACAGCTTTCATGTTACTTAGATATTGATGTATTAATTCCAGAGGTTTTGAATTTATTCAGTGAAATGACTGCCATGTAGCAATTATCTTGACTGTAATCCTTGCCCTGTGTGACTGTGGCCTGAGGAGAGTGAATGCTGTAGCTGCCATGAATATGACAGTGTTAATTCGAGGTGTTTTTTTTTTCTGAAACTTTTTTTTAATTTTTTTTTTTTATTTTCAAGTGGTTATGTTTTCATGCGCTGATTAGTCCTCCAGGAAGGATTATTACACAATTAAAATACCCTATTTAAAAAAAGGAAGGAGACTCTTCTCAAAATTGGAGGTTTTGGTGGGAAAATGGCTGAAATATCAGGGTTGAAAGGATTTCTGAACTTTCATCTTAAAAAGTACAGTTAATAAATGGACAAGAAGAATCTATGTAAAAGGTCTGTTTTTTCTTGTAGATGTATGATGTGAAGTTGTGCAAGTAAAGTAAAGGCTTCTATATTATAATTAAAGTGAGGATGGGATGTTTGCTAGAAGGGAGTTACAAGGTTTCACAGCATTAGAAATTTCAAGTTTTGATCTCCCTCATGAAAGGTGGTTCCATTCTCATTGCATGAACATCATCTTTCTTCTGCTTAGAGCAATTGTGCAAGGGCTTAAGTCTGTTCTGATTATATTTTATTTAAAAGATAGTATAAGTATTATGCAGTGTGGGTAAGGTACAGCCAAGATTAGGACAACTTAATCTTCAAACAGAGAACTGTGTCTATATAACATATATGTGTTTAAAAAAAAATAATCATTCTTTGTACCTCCTGCTACCATATTATGTTTCAAATCCTGTTGGGATGCCTCCCAGAGAAAGAGAAAAAGACCAAATATATGCTTATGATTAAACACAAGACTAATTTTATGTCATTCATATTACAAACTTAAAAAAAGAGGCTTGTTTTTTGAGACATTAAAATTTAAAAGGCAATAATTTTCGAAAGTGTTCTTAGTTGTTTAGAAATAGAAATAATTTATCATTAGAAAGTAGCTAAAAATAATTGGAACTATTTGACTTTCAAGTATAGGACTGCATGCAGATTGTAATATGATTTAAGGGTAGGAAGGTGAACAGACCTTAGGTTCTTGTGAGTGGCTTCTATGCAACATCAAAATTACCCATAGTATTTATAACATATACTTGAATTTGTGTGCTGAACAGAAGTATTTTGTTGGTTTTTTTTCAAATTCTTCCAGATCTCAATGTGAGTAAAATGTGATTAAATTTTGGTGAGAATATTATTTTTTTAAAAGAGCTACTCTCTTGATAAAAAATGAAATAAAAGGTTTGCAAAAAATGTTTCATGTGAAACTCAACAAATTGTGATCTGTGTTATTGAAAGTCCAGTCTGTTTTACTGTCTAGAGACATGAAATATTGTTTGTAACTATGTATACAGCAAAGAACTAAATACCTATTCTTGTCTTTGAATTTAGAGATGTGTGTGCATACACAATGTGTGCTGTAAACACATACTCTAATTTTAAGGCCATGCTGGAAGTAATGGATAAGTAGACTATACCTTGCTTTGTTTTGTTAATATTATGATCATGTATCATACTTATTTTCTTCAGGGTGACCTTTATTTTGGTTTAATTGCCTACCTTTTTTATAAACTTTTCATTCTCTTAGAGTAATATGTCATGAAACCTTAAGCAGTGTCTTTTCCAGAATATTTGCAAATGATGTTCAGAAAGGTAATTCGATTTTCAGACTCCTATATTTCATGTGCTGAAGGAAGGCTTAGTCTGCTTTTGATTGAGACTTTTCCTATTTTATTGAGCAGTGGTGTTCCAGGATCAAGCTGAATTGCACAGCATAAGAAGGGAGCAGTGAGCATTTGATGGAAGCAGATAATAAAATGCATCAATTGTGTCAGCACCTCGTTGCAGTCACATCTGGCTTACTGTCAGGGTACCATTAGATTCTCATGGTTTTATGTGCCAAAAATAATACGCTTTGTAGTTAATGGAACCAGGATATTTGCAGTTTGATTAAAAAAAATCATCCTATTTTCTCTCCGATCTCTGTTGGGCTTAAGTTCAATCTGAGCACAGCCTTGTCTCCTTAAAATTTTACGACTGAAAGATCAATTGTTCTTTTGATCTGTTTCTTTCTCTCTCTTATTGCAGTGAATCCAGCAGTCTGAGCAGCAGTGATGCTGGTTTGTTTACCAATGATGAGGGAAGACAAGGTATTGAAACAATCTTTCCCTTCTCCACCCCTCAAACCACATCAGTTGAAATTCTGTAAGCGTTACAAGTTATTTCATAGGTTAATTACTATAGTTCAGTTTCATTACTGTTTTAATGAGTTGAAGTATAGCTTGTTTTCTGGTTTGCTTTTTTTCATGTTATCAAAAGGTTGCCTGAATGCCTGACTCAGTCAAAAGCTGTCTTGAGCAGTAGTCTCTGTAATATGATATACTTATTTAAAACTTAAGCATCTCCCTAAAAATTTATCTATACTAAGTTTTAATTGCTCAGTTCCTCTAATTTTCTGACAGGAGTCTGATTGTAGTACTGCTTATCATACTATTTTTGAGGTGGCTTTTTTTTCTTTCTTTTCGTCCAAATTGATATGACAGAATTTCAGGATTTTATACTTCTTTTTCATTCAATAGTTTGTTTGAAAAGTAGTTTCAAGCAAACTACTTTTTCAGCAGTCTAAGATTTAGAGTAGAAGATGGATGCTGTGTAACATCTCCCATCTGAAAAAACTTTGTTTCATCTAAGATGCAGTAAAGATTCAAAATTTTCTTTTAGTACATATAATGTTCTCATATGTTTTTATATGGTAAAATGATTGAGGATGGAAGTATGAGGTCGGTGGTTTTATCAGCTTTAGCCTTTATTGCCGTTTCTAGGTGCAAGACGTTTACCTGCATTATGCATCTTAGTGCCCAACTCATGGACTAGCAACTCACTGTCTTTGACAGTGTACAAAAATGAGGCAAAAAATAATCTCCTAAATTATTACAATTTGCTTTTCTGTAGTAAATCTTAAGTTAATGGTAATGGAGATTATTTTTGTATGCACTTTGCCAAAGGCTACTTGAGTGGATGCAAGAAAAATCCTGGCCCATTCCACAAATACAGGTTAAAGAAATGTTTGGGTTTTTTTCATTCTTTCTCTGTTTTCTTTCTACAGTGTCTAATTCAGGCTCTTCTGTTTTTTGAGGTTTTTTGTCTTGTATTTTAACGTTACAGTAGGGAGATGACTTAAAACAGACGTGTTACCTTCCTTGCTCAATTGTGACTTGCACTACACAAACTACCTCCCAGGCTGAGTATCTGGTTTCAGTTGTGCTAACTCATTATTTTTTTAAGAGTTTAGTCTGTCTTGTAACTTCAGTATTTCAATTCTTGAAGTCATTAAGTATGAGACAAGTAAAAAAGATGTGCTTTTACTTCCGCATTGGAATTTCTCTTTTGACTTGCTATTTTTAAAATGTTTGTCCTCTATATTTGTGTGTAACTTGACATACCACATTTCCTCAAAGCATACATTTTTAAGTACCCTTCTGGCACATTTGTATCAATAGGTTTGTCCTTAAATCCAGAATTAAATTATTTGAATCTTTGAAAAATATGGTTGAAAGCATCTCAGTTGCCTTTAGTTTTTCTTATATATTTTGTGGGAACATAAAATGGGAGGGATCAGTGACCAACAGTGTTCTTGCACTGGTGTGATGTTACCTTTTTTTGTGTTGGCTCTTTATCGTAAAGCTGTAGTTTGTATTTTTTGTTTCTATGGTTTTTGAATCTTGATTCAATTTGAATACAATTTTCAAGCAGAAAGCATTAGATCTGAAATAGTATACTGAAATATAAGTAAAAATAACAACAATAATTAAATCTGAAAAAGATATTGCCCTGATAAAACATTCTTTTTAAAAATCTTTACTTTGAACTAATTATTTTTTTTTTTTATATGATCAGAAGACCATTGGCTTCACACTGGCACTCAGACACTTTTAGATCTGCATTATAGCTTTGGTTTTGCACGACTTTTCCATGAAAGTACTATCGGGATCCTGCTGCAAAACCAAAATTGTTTCTTTTCAAATAATGATTCTTCCCCCCTCACAGTAAATGCTGGTAATTTGTACTCCCATTATTAAGTAAGGTGAGGTTATTTTATCTCTGTAAATTTGTTTACAGCTGAACTGAGACACATACAAAATTGACAAGAATGAAGAAAGGAGAAAACAAATCTGATAAAAGGAAAGAAAAAGCCTGAGTGAGATAAACAAAGCCAGAAGAGACAGGATGAAAATGTACTAAGGAAAGAACTGGCTGATTTTGTTTTCTGTTTTTAAAGCTAGACTCGTATTCCTGTGTTTCCCAGTGTGCCTCTTCCAGGATATATGTTCAGAACGTCAGCATCTTGACCTCATTTGTAGTTCAAATTTTCTGCACTTCTGACTTCAGGTTTCTGCTAAGTCAAGTGGAGAACCAGAGATTGATTAATGTCACCTGGTGAAATACTTGGTTTAAATGATGTGCCTGCCATCACTTGGAAGTTTGAGTAGCAGAGGACAAGAGGTTCCTGTTCTCCAGGGCAACATTTGTTCATTTTGTGTCTCTGAGATCAGGAACCACATCTCATTTATTGCAGACAAATACTTCTTATAAACTGCTAATTAATTTCCAAAACATATTCTTCCTAAGGATCAGACATTCTAGACAAGATTGTGACTAAAGCAGCAGTTTCTTGGAGCATTTAACCAATCAATTAAATAGTTGAGTATTTAGTTCTGAACTTTGGAGTGCCTGACCTTGCAACATTTAATATTTTCCAATTTTTTTCAGAAATAATATGGAAATAAATTCCACCACAGTAACTGTAGTCTTCTGTGGACAGACTCTAGGAAGAATTTCAACTTTTATAATTTGATTTAAAAGAAACAGGGGTAGCTGTAATTGGGGGCAGTGCTACATACATTTTAATTGTCATCAGTTGCTATGATAAAAGAAAACTGCTGAGACTTGAAAATTCTCTGTTTGACTTCTACTTTGTGGTGTGTCATCTAACATTTTTAAGAGCTTCTGTACTCAAAGCTTTTTTGGTTGATTTGTTTTGTTCCCATCAAGTCCTCATCTGAGTCTAGCTGTGTTTGTCCTCTTTTTCCAAGTTATCCAAATGCTTACTTTAGGTCATATGAGAGGGCAAAAGCAGCTCTCTTCTTGTGCCCTGTCCCACTATCACCCTCTGGCAGAAGTCAATAGTACTCAATATTTGCAGGTCCAATGTGCCAAATGTTTTTATCTGTGAAACTTTGCATACCAAGAACAGTAAGTCAGCAGAAGCTTAAAGATCATGGAAAATGCTTAGTGCATTTAGGTACAGTCAGTGAAGAAGATAGCAGCTGAACTATTAACAAACCTCAAGTGACTTTTTATGGGTTGTATTTTTTTCCAGAGGTTTTCAAATTTGGCAGTTTTAGGGTAAGATTTAATATAGTTAGGAAAAAATTCAAAATACTATGGAGATGGGAGAGCCTGACAACAAAGTAATTGAAGGACCCGAATAACAGCTGAAGCTTATGTATGAAAAGTCCTCATGACTTTTTTTTTTTCGAGCTCTTCTTTCCTTTTATTCCTAGAGAAATTTTCATGAATGTCTGTTTTGCAATTATTAAAAACTTTAATGATAAGCAGTGTTATGCCTGGTGTAGAAAAATTTTAAAAGAAAAATTCCAAACTAAAAGGTCTGGTCTTACATTACAATATAAAATACAACTCTATGATAGGCCTAACTAGTAGGATCACCTGCAGTTTTAAGGCACTTTACAAAGGCACTTTACAAATTAAGCTTTCAACACAATGTTAACAAAACTGTATTGTTATTCAGACACTAGTGGATGATACCCTGTTTTGGGGGGAAAAAGTCAAATTACAAGTATGTTCTTTAATGAATATTATAGTGTGAATATAGCAAATAAAACATACTCTGCATTTCTAGTTCATACTATTAGTACACTTGGGGAAATTCAAAGTTGACTTAAGACCTGTTAATTCAGGGCATGCAGCATTTAAAATTTCCTTTAAGATCTGAGCAAGTAGGAAGGAATATTATGTTAATAAAATGTTAAACAGTTAAAATTGGGGAAGGTCAGAGAATGTCAGAGTTCTGCTGTGGATGTGGCTAAGTAGTTAAAGATAGCAGTTCATTATTTTATGATTAAACACATATTCATTACTGTGTCCTTTATAAAGATGACCCAGCACTGATTCAGTATAAGAATTCTAGTGAAAACTCTAGTGGGAAAAATTTGGACCTTGTATTACTTGTCAGTAGCTGCAGGTGACAGGTGTGGTTCTCCTTATATAAAAGAAATGGATTACGCAATGCAAAGTATAACCACACCAGTTTTGAACTGTTGTGGCCAATAAGTTTATAGTCTTTGCAAGTGTACAAGAAATAACGTGAAGTTGTTGTGTATGACCTCAATAGCTGAAATCCTAAATATTTATATAATATATATATACCTCTCGTCAAGGTAGCTTTGTAGAACACGAGGTGCCTCTATGAATGCGTAACTTAAGCTTCTGCTTTCCTGAAACTCTCTGTATATGTGTTACAGTGAATCTCCTGATGTCTCCAATTGATTATGGCAGCTGTTAGCAGTGGTTTTTTTTTTGCCTAGAAAAGGTACAGTGGCTATGGAAATGAGAGTGGAATCCTAGGATATTCACAGGCCGTGTGCTCCTGCTCCTTGTGTGCACGTTGATGGATAACAGAGCAGCACAGTATTGAGTGGTGTTCATAGGACGCTGATGCCCAACTCTTCACAGTAGCCTCTCCGAGGATGTTGTGATTGTTATAGGCAAGCACGTGTACCTGCTCCTGTTAAGGGTGGTCTGGACATTTTGAAATAAAACTGGGAAGGGGGGTAAAATTGTCTATTTATGTGCAATGGGAAGGTGGTTGGTTGTAATCCTGCACGGCTTTAGCTAAAACAAGATTGTGCTGAAGCTTTGCTGAACATGATGGTGATGCAAATGGTGTCTGTGTCCATAGAGAAGCCCACATAAATCATTTTCAAAACTTCCTTAAGAAGAAGGCAAGTAATTTAACATGGAGTAGTAATCAGATAAATATGTAGACTCAATAATGTAGAGTGAAAATTAGGGAAATAATAATTGGGTGGAGGGGAAAGCTTAAAAATAACTAAATAAATTAAGCCAGAAACTAGCCTTGAAATTTTAGGATTGAAGTTGACGTTTCTGAGCCCTAAATTGATTTTCTAACCCCTTAACATTCTATGATACTATGACTCTGTGATCAGTATAGTTATAATTGAATGTAGATTACTTTGAAGTAATTCCTTTAAGCATTAGCATTATAAACAAGTAAGTTGGATGTACTTTCAATATGTGTTTAGGAGAATGGATGGGCTCAGTTTCTGGAGATCTGGAGGTCTTTTTTACCTTTCCTGTACCTTGGAAAAATATGATAATTTACTGTAGTCCTGTGCTGAATCAGCACTTTTAAAAGGAAAGGATGGTGTACTGAATCTTTTGAAGTAAAAAATGTTGCTTTGAATTTTTACTTCTTGTAAAATCGCATTTGCTGTGGATACTGTGCTGCCTTTTGAGAGCTGCAAATTAAGTAGGATAAAATCCAAGTATTTGGTTACCAAACTCTTGGGCTGGATGCCCCCTGTGTTTTATTGCCTATATATATTGCCATGTCTTTTGAAGATGTTTTCTGATCTTCTGAAACTACGTGTTTTATATGAAAGAACATGTTTTAAAATAAACGATATATTTTTAGTTCCCACTGTGTTTGTAAGCTAAGTTTAAGATCAGATTTTTTTTTTTTAAATCCAAGTATTTAAATACTACATCTACAGATATTGTCAGTAAAAATGACCAGCTTTGTGGTATAATGCAGTATAATTCTCAATCACATGATACTGTCAGCTTTCATTTAAAATCAACTTTTTCAAAACTTATTTCTAAATGAACTTAATCAGATTAACTTCATTTAGTCACATCTGTTCATGATTGTTTTCCCTTTTTACTAGCCATACAAATCATGAAATTAAGCTAATTATATACCATTATCAGCTGCAAAGAACTAGTTTCAGTTTTATACCTTTTAATTCCCTGCAGGAGATTAGGGCTTGTTTTTTGTTAATATGTAAAGTGCAGTAACTTAAATGGATTTCACCACAGTTATTGCCAAAGGGATTAACTAGTTTATTATTGTTTTCACTATTGTAAATTGGTTTTAAAACATTACATTTTATGATGTTTCATTGATGGCAATGCATGTCATGCTGTTGAGAAACATTTTCCAAATAGAATTGCTATATAGAAGTAATTGTCATACCGCTATAAAGCAAAAGAAATAATAATCCTGTCAGAGTATTTATTGATGGTAACATCTAATTTTTATCTTCTCTGCTCCTCCCTCTTTTTTTGGGGGGACTTGGGGGATACTGCCCTCACACAGGTGATGATGAGCAAAGTGATTGGTTTCATGAAAATGAGCCTGGTGGAGCATGTGGAATTACAGGAGTCATTCCATGGTGGGAACAAGAAGATTCCACAGAACTGGAAAGAGAATTGCCTGATCCAGTCTTTGAAAGTATCTTAACTGGTACTTTCCCTCTTATGTCACGTTCAGGGAGGAGAGGTAAGTAGCCAATCGAGAAAATGCAAGCTGTAGATTGTCTGTCGATTATATAAAATACATAAAATGTGGACAAGATCTTGGAGTTACCAATTTGTTTCCTTGAACTTTTTAATTTTTAAGATATCATTAGAGACAAATCATTCAAAAAAATCCAAATGTCAGAAAAGTCAGAAGATGTAAAATAGCTCATTTTGATAGCCTGCTCTTTATTTGTTGTCTCAATGTTTGCATTGAGAATTATTAAGCATTGTTTAAAATGAACCTAGATAATCAGTTTTGTTCCAGGCTTCTGTGATAATGTATAGAATTCTATACAAGTTCATTAATTCAAAGGCTGGAAAAACTACTGAGACCATCTCCTTTACCTTACTTTATGGTCAGGCTTTAGTGTTTGTAGAGAAGAGGCAAGGATTCTTCTAGAGCAAGGATTGAGATTGTAACTCAGAAAATACCCTTTTTCTTTATTTCTTTAAAACACCTCAGACAACTGTGGATCCAGTGTAACCAATGGCAAGTTCTACCAGCATTAGACTGTATTTACAGCTAGGAACCCACTCTTGTCTAAAGACTGAAGTTGTCAGACCTCAGCTTGCTGCCAAAGAATTTTGTTGTACTTTCCCTCTGCCACAAGGATCTGCTTTCACATTGAAATTCTATGTGAGCAGTGGTCAAATCACTTTTAAACTACTCTGCACAATGAATTGAATTCTTTTGTAAGACGTCTTTTCTAGGTGATTGGAATTGTTTTTGAGGACTTGGTCTCTGCAGATTTGCCAGATTTAATGTTTTATAGTACTCATGAAGTTGTAAGTGATGCAAAAATCACTTTCCTCCTGTAGTTTGGTATGTTCTGCTTATGCAGCTAGCTGTGCATAGAATCCAGCATGGCAGTATGAATAGCTCCAGGAAGGTTAATTTTCATTACAACTTATCCTTTCTCTCACTTTGCCTGTTCTGTGCTCTTTGTTTCCACCAGAAAATGTTTGACAATAAAAAGTTGTTTTTATTTAACTGAACTCATATGTATAGACTGGTATGTAATGGTGAGTTTTATTGGTTCTGTGGTATAGGAAGTATTCTTAAATCAGTTCATACTTTTTTCTGTAGGTTTCCAGAGCAGATGTAGTCATCTTCACGGAATGCCAGCAAGAAACATAAAAAAGGCTTCAGGAAACCAGAACACCCTGGTAGGTGTTTTCATTATTGTTAGCTAATGTGCACTGTTCCGAGAGGTTTTTTTAAAAAAAGCGTGTTCCTCTTCTGTTTGTTTGCCAGTGCTGTAGATAGGTAGTGGAACAGTAAGACTGTGGTGCCACTGCTGCCTGATAGTGTGTGTTTACTCTTTTTAAAAAGACCTTGACTCTTCTCACTGCAGTTCTCTGTAACAAAATATTTGTGTGTATTCAAATGGCAGAAAGGATCGGATACTATTTGTCAGTACTTCTTTTGAACTGAGTGAAATCAGATTTATTTTACATTTTTTCTCCCTAAAACCTGCTTTGAAAAATGTGTCCTTATTTCCTTTTGTTTGGTTGACATCTGTGTGGTCAGGGGAAGGAAGTGTATACAAAAAGTCTGAAGCAACTTAGTGATGCAGCCTTACATATTTCTTTGGACTGAGCCTCTTCTAAGCCTGTAACTACAAATGAGATGTTTGGGGTTTTTTAGTAGCTTCAGCTCTGGGAGCAATGTTTATAAGTGAAGTAAAAAAATTACAACTGTCCTTGCATTTTTGTACAATATAGTGATTGTATTTTCCCATAGCTTTTTTCTAAAATAAGTTCCTAATGAATTTTTGATTTTTTTTTTCCTTGAGAGGAGGGCATGGGAAGAGAGATTTGACTTTTTAAATTAAAACATTAAAATGTATTAATTGTAGCACAGTTTATTCCTCTCTTATCAGGATAGTGTTTGGACAAGGAAGAGAATGTGGGAGATTCTTTATAAGGTGTAATAAACATAGGCCAGTACGATAAATACTACAGCATGAATGCTTTTTATTATTTGAGAATATTACATGTTTTCAAATTTTAGTTTGACTAAACAACATAAGGTGCTTCTGAAAAATGTAAGAGTTATTATATGTGGAGAGAATAGAAAGGAACTTACTGAAATTTAACTCTATTGGAGAGGGAAGGTTTTTATAATTGAAGTCCCTGTCCAGTAATTGCCATTTGGAGCTGAATAAGATGCTTTAAAACCTTGGCCTGTGATCTCTGTGTTAGTGGTCGTGAATTAGATGAATGCTCTCTAGTTCTTGGTTTCCTATCTGCCTATTTTTATTTTTGGTTCAGTGCTTGCTTGAGCATATCTGGGATTTGTAGCCCATTTTCTAGGCTTATTGCAATTTCACTCTGGTATTTTATAGGAGCTATTATAACTGATAGGTTAGCTTCATGGTATTGATGATACATGGCTTAACTACCCCAAAACCTGCCTTTTCCTCTAAATTGTAAAAAGGTGATTAAATTTCAGTTGATAAAGATATACTGTGAATGCATATATATAATAAAAAATCCTAATGTTTATTTTCTGGTATGCTTTCTAGATTGTCCTTAGGAGCCCATTTTGTCTTCCAGTCATGATCTCTCATATATAAAGATGGTATCATAGTTCCCTTTGTACCAAAAATCCAAGCTAATCTGCTAAATAACTGATTATTAAATATACCATTTACATAATCTTTTAGAAGAAGGTTGGCATGTGAATGCAGCTTCTAAGTCACTATGTTTAGGCAGGAGTGCATATAAAGAATGGATGTGCAGTTAGCTCTGCAGATGCAGTTTTCTGACCTCCTTAATGACTATTTATGTTTGTGGGCACATCTGCTGCATCTGTCTTTGCAAATGTAGCTGTATAAACCAGAGCTCTTGTGCCTCCTTTTGTCAGTGATTGCTTCTTAAAGAAAATCTTCTTTGGATACTTCAATCCAATGATAAAAAAAAAAAGTCATTTAATACCTGTGACATCTGATAACACAGAACAAGAAGTAATTACTGCTATTAGATGGTAACAGTGAAGAAGAGCGGGAATGCTTTTAGAAAGATTAATATCCTGAGGAAAGAACACTGCAGACTCAACTTATTGAACAGAATTGTGGTGTGAATTAATTCTAACAGCGAGGAGTCTGATGTCTGTATCGCTGCTTTTCACAGGCTTGAAAGGGAGACAAAATAAAAAAAGGGAGTTTCCTACTAAGAGACACTACCTAGGAGACACCTAGTTTGTGTCTGGGGAATGTGATCGTATGGTTAGCTCTTTGCATACAGTCAATGCGTGCTTAAATATTTTTGAAAAGTTTGGTTGAATGTTCGCAATTATTCCAGCTAGTGAAGCCTTGGAGAGATTGCAGGTTTAGGGAAGGGAGAATGAATAGCTGTGGCAATACCTTGATATATCGTCATCCTGTTTCAAAAAGTCTTTAATGCCTGACTCTGTGCTTTCTTGTAAGAGAAATGTCAGGCTAAGAGTGTCAATATTACTTGTTAAAGACCAGGGAATCTGCCAGCTTGTGTCATTTTCACACCACAGTGGGAGCTGAGGATCCAAGGAAGAAGGCTGCTCTTTATGGACCGGTCCGTGGACTTCAAGTAGCAGTGGCTGGTGCTTGGATTTTATCCAGATGCTCTTCCTGTGTTTCATTGATGAGTTGCTTAATTTGAGTAAACTCAGGGGTCTTTCTTTTGTCAAGCATAATGCCTTTGAGTCAAAACACTTTTTTAATGTTCATACAACACTGGACAAGAAAGAGAGAAGTAAATACTAGCTAGCATGCTTTGGAAATCCTTGCCTAATCCAATGTTCGGGTTGAAAGAGTTGTCATACGGCAGATGATAACTGAAAAAGCTGAGCAAGAAAATGAAAAAAAAAAAAAAGAAAACATTAATCCCAACTGGCTTATATCCTTTTGATTGGCCAGTTCATGTAAGATAGGCACATTTGTCATGGAATCCATAGTGGAATGGTTTGTCAGGTATATGTTTTGGTTCGCAGTTATAATACTGGCTTTTCGTGTCTCCATTGTTTTGTTTTGTGGCAGCATCATTTGTAACTAAACTGTATTTGAAAAGAAATAGAAAAACACATTTTTTCTAATACCATGCCATGTTGATAGAAGTAGCTTTGTAGTTAAAATGAGAAACATCATATATGTGCTTTCATACCATACCAGTATTTAACGTACTCTTTTAATAAGGTATATTGCATGAAATCTTACTTTGCTTGGTTGAATTCTGTAGCTATATATGTATGACCTGATCAAGTAGTCTCAAGCCCCACATCGTTTTGTGTTAGGCATAGTCAAAAGTTTTACAATTTAAAAATATTGTTCTATGAAGAAAACACTGGTTTCTTAGAAGGGATGCTCTTTTTTCAGTCTTTTTCTATGCATGTTTATATACTTGCATATCACTTATCTTGTACTATATCTCTATTCTCTCCAGCAAATTGCATGTGAAACTTTGGTATTTCGTAGAATAAAATCTGAAATATTACACTTTGGATGCATTGAAACTGTGAAGGTTCATTTCTATGATGTAGAATACTAAGTGAACTCTACCTTAAATGATTAAGGTTTTCATGCTATTCTCAGTTGGATTCCTGAGGAAAGCACAAAGCCTTAAGGAAAGAAAATAAGAGTTAATAATTATAGTTAGTGAAAATAGAACATGACTGTTTTTTCCTTTCCTTCAAAATGTTTGCCCAACTTAGTACTCAATGACTGAAAAAATTCACTTTTGTTCACAACTCCTCCATACAAATGAGTAAAAGTTTTAAAAATCAGTGTTGCTGTCTTAGCTGTTCCTTCTGTGGTTCTAGGTACAGTTTCTTCCCTGAGACAGGGAGAGACATTGTAGCATTTTGTTTGAGAACTCTTAGGTGTCCTCTCTTGCTGCCTTTGTCCCCTGTCTGGGTTGGCAGCTGGTAAGAGATTTCATTGGACTAAAATGCAAAAAACATGAACAATAAAAAAGATGCTTCTTTTTGACTACCAGTTTTTCCATCCATCACCTTTGTCATGGGGCTTAGTTTCATTATATTAAAGACAGCCTATAGTAAGTCTTGCGTTCCTAGATACATTTATTTTGTTCACAGTTGTACTATTGAGCTCGACTATACATCGTTGTAATTATTCAAAATATGCTTAAAGAAAGAAAACTGCCTTTCCAAGACCTGTTATCTGAATGTGTCTGGATATTTCTGTCAAATCCTGTGATTCTTGCAAAAGTTCAAAGATAAAAGAGCTTTTCTCAAAGAAAAAATTGTTGACAGATTACTACTCTATTGACGTGTGGAGAAAAGATGCATTAAGCACTCATGGTTTTTTAAACTGTTTTCAAAATGTAAAAGCAAATCAAGCATTTCTGCTTCTACGTTCTTTCCAAGAACCAGTTATTTTCAAGATATTTTTTCTTGAAGGAATTTCAAGATATTTATTTCAAGATATTTATTCTTGACAAGAGCTTTATTCTTGTCAAAATATTTTGGCTATTGATGAAATGTTAATAGATAAGTGAAATGAGTGAAACGTTAATAGATAAGAAACCTTGCTATTGATCCAAGGAAAATTTCCTTAAAGAGTAATTTGAGCATTTTTTTTTTTTTTACAATATTGTTCAGAAGACTCTTCATGGATGCTCTGCAACTTTTAGAAAAACACTGCTTCTTAAGTTAAAGTGTATTTTGTGTTGGGGAGAATTTTTTTACATTGGATGAGTGGTATACAGTCAGATAAAACAATTCAGTAGCATTGAAGTGCCTGAAAGAACTTATCTGTGGTGACTTTGAAACTTTACGCTGCTAAACCTTCAACTGAATTTTCCTTTAAGGGAGTAGAAAAGTAGATTGTTGGGTTTTTTTGTAATGGGGTTTTACTAAGATTTCTTGAATCAGAAATATTTTCAAACCCAAACCATTCTATGAACAAAAGGGGAAAAAGAAGCTTCAGTTGGATTTCAAAACCCCATTATAAGCACTGTAGGTTTTAAAAATGAATTTAAATATTGGGGATGATGTTAAAGTATCTGTGGTGTTATTAACTTCATATCTCTACACATTTTTGGATGAACTGCTCACTGTTCTTGCACCTTTTAATCATCACTATGTAGTCAGCATTAGTAAGAGCTTTTTTTTCCTACAAAGTATTTTCAAGTGCATTTTTGCTAAATCTTTCCTTATACTGTTGGAA